GCACACAGGTCCCCACTGCCCGCTGAGCGCAAGGCTGGCGGTTGGCAGCTTCCAGGGAGACTCAGCCGGGCGCGCTGGGTCGGCTTGTCAAGGGTGGGGCTTCTCACAGGGCCCCTCGAAACCTCTCCTTGTGGCTGCAGACTGGCCGACGTGGCTGTCCCTGTCGGGCCTCTGCCCAGGGGCGTCGAGACCTGCGTGCTGGTCGGCCGTGGTGAAGCCTGGACACAACGGGATGTGTGCGTCAGACAGCGGCAGGGCCCCACCCATCGGGGACCTTTCAGGTCGGGGCGCAGAGGGGCGCAGAGTCTTCCTGGAGATGGCGCGGGGCAGGCCCCCTGTCCTGGTTCTCTGGGCGCTGTCCAGGGTCTGTCTGCAGCTCTTGACTGGGCTCTGGCCAGGGCCTGTCCTTGGGCTGTCCAGGGACTCTGTGCGGGCTGTGTTCTGTCCTTAGGAAGTTAGGATTGAGGTGCAGTGACCTCGGTTTCGGTCACCACGAGGCGCAGTGTTTGGAGCTGCCTCCCCAGCATGTCGAATGTGTGACCGAGACACCGCTGCTCGTGACCCCTCCTGTGTGACTCCCCGCCCATGAGTTTCATCACCAAGTCCTCCCTGTTCCCGGCTCGGCCCTCGGCTCTGGGGACGTTCAGATCACTGGACTGGTGTCACTTGTGGTTTGTGTAGTGGACGCCATGAGGGACCACACTGAGCAGAAGCGAAGTCTGTGTAGCGGTGATAGATGCAGATCCATCGTCCACCGGCCCAGGCCCTCCTCACGGGGACGAGCTGTGTGCTCACTGCCCACGGGGCGGGGGCTGTGAAGGGCCCGCAGGGTCACCAGCCTGCCTCTGGGAAGGACCGGTCTCAGGTTGCCGTGACACGAGCACGTCTTCTCCCGAGGGGACCTCCGTGCTCCAGGTGCTCTTCGGGCTCCGAGACGTGGAGCGTGCGCTGGGCTGGGCTCGGCTCTCCTGGGAGAGACGAGGGAGGGGCAGCCGTGGGCGCCGCGGACGGGCCTGGCTGGTCTGTCCCCTGTGGGCAGGACCTGCCCGGGAGACCCTCCTTGCTTACCTGCAGCTCCCAGTCACGGGGACCAACACCACGTGTCCGAGCAGGAACTGCAGTTGGACGTGGGCTTCTGTCCTTGGGCTGTGTGGGAGCCACAGCGGCTCACGCAGGGTGAGCTCCCCTCTCCTCGGAAACGGAGGAACCTGGTCCGGATGTCCTCACTGCCCTCCCGGTCCGGACCGCGGGTCCTTAGGGAACGGGGCCCTGGACCCAGGCCCAGCGTGCAGGGGAAAAGTACGGGGCTTTCTAAATGTGTGGGTGCTCTGCTGGGTGCTGGGGTCGTGGGCAGAAGAACACAAAGGGAGGTGTCAACTCAGGCTCCATTCTGGAAGCTTCCATCGCCACCTGCAGGGCTGGGACGAGCGCGTGGTTTCTCGTAGAGAGCGGATGGCCCCGCTGCCGGGGCCCCTCGTGGTTTCGGGGCATCCCTAGCACGAAAGGACAGGCCGTGTCCTTGGGGCTGCGGCAGACAGCTGTCCCAGCGGGGCAGTGTCGGTCCCCACGAGCCTGCGGGGCGGCGGGGGGCCAAGGACGGCAGTGGGGGGGCAGGCAGGGTTCCGCAGCAGACGCGGGCGGCTGGGAATTCTGCCCGAGGAGGTGGGGGAGGCCGGCGTCTGCTGTGTCCAGACCACTCCGCCGTCCCCGAGGCGTGGCCCTGAGCTGGGGGGTCCTGGCTGGGCGCAGGCTGTCGCTAGGCCCGGGCAGGGGCTTGTCACAGCCCCGGTGCAGTGTCCGCAGCCCCAGCGCCGCCCACGGTGGTCGGACAGGGAGCGGGCAGGGCTGAGCCCTGTGCGGACCCCTCGTGCGGGCGTCCGGCAGCAGCTGGGAGAGTCTGCCAGGCCGTGTCCTGGGCGAGGAGACCAGCCCCTCACGGTGACCCCGGCGCTGTGGGGCAGGCACAACCCCCTCCCCGCGTGCCCGCGTCGTTTTTCCGCGTGGAAGCTGGGAGGTGGGGGTGGCTGGTCCGCGGCTTTGGGCTCACGGTGAGGCCGGGCCCCCAGGCCAGGCTGCCACGGTGGGGGCGTGGCCCGCGGGCACCGGACATGGTGCGTTGTCAGGATGCTCCCCTGCACCCGTGTCACCCGCAGCCCTGTCTCCCTCCGAGGGTGGCGCCCTCCTTTCTGCACACCATCTGCACTCGGCCCCGCACCCGCTGGGCGACGGCGGGCTGGGCTCCCTGCAGAGTGCCCAGCGGGCTCTGGGTGAGGGAGAGGACCCAACCCTCCGTGCTCACTCCCTCCAGGGTTTTCCTGGGCTCGAGACCTTAGCGTTTCCCGGGGACCTTGTGGGGTAGCAGCCGGTTTGGCCGGGGAGGGGGGGTGTCTGGGGTGCGGAGAGGTCACTGTGTCCTCAAGGTTGATCATGCAGGTAAGTCTGTCAGGGCCACGCGGGAGGGGCCCTCCTCTGCTGCTTGGCTCGGGAGGAGTCCAGGCCCCCAGGCCCAGCCCAGGCCACGTGGGGGCTCTGGAAGGGGAGGCTGGGCTGGGTCGGGGCCCCTGGAGCCGCAGCCTCAGACTCTGGCGGCAGTTGGACTGGGAGAGACGGGGCTGCTCCGGGAGGGCTGACCACACCCCTGCCCTCCGCGCCCTGCCTTGGGCTCCCAGGCCTGGGCTCCCGGAGCAGTGCCCGTCGCTCTGGAGGCCGCACGTGGTCAGGGATTGGCCGCCTTGAGCGCTGAGCACACCCAGGCCCCAGAGGAGGGGGCGCGTCGGCGCCTGCGCCCCGTCTCAGGAGGAGGTGGTCTTTCTGGTGTGCTGGGGTGTTTGTCCTCAGAGCATCTAGCTGACCACTGCCCACCACAGTGACTGCTTCTAACACACACGAGTGCTCTGGAAGGATGTCCTGGGCCCGGGAGCAGGTGGCCGAGCAGGGGACACGTGATGCCACCGTGGGCCCCAGGCTGACCCGCGGAACAGCACCACAGAGCGGGCCGCCTGTCCCCGCGGCTCCTGCCCTGGGCGCCGGCCCCTGGGGACGCCGAGGCCCTGATGCCCTCATCCTGCTGCGACCTCACAGGCCGTGCCCAGGGCCTCGCAGACACGGCTCCTGGGAGCGGGTGTGGGAGGTGCCGCCCCTCCCTGGCCCGCGACCGCAGGGCCGTGGGCACGGCTGGGCCCCGCGCTCCCCTGAGGAGCAGCACCCTGCTGGCGAGGTAAGTGGGACCCAGGCCGGGCCCGGGATGGCTGCCATGTCCCGTCGCCGCCGGTGTGCAGCCAGGGCCGTGGCGTGGAGCCAGAGCCAGGTCCAGGACCCCGGTGGTGGTCAGTGCGCAACGGCACTGAGTTCTCTCCAGGGTCACCCTCCGGTGGGCAAGGGCACATGTGAAGGTGCGACTGTCTCAGCTCACCCAGGTGGCCGGCACCCTGCTGTCTGTCCCCCCAGGGTGGACGGGGCTGGATGGGCAACCTGGGTGAGTAGTGTCTGTTTCTCCCAGCGTCTGCCCCCCTTGGGCACCTGGTCGGCCCAGGCACAGGATGCAGCCAGGGCCCCGAGGCTCCAGGGCACCGCATCCCTCCCAGCGTCCCCGCCTTCCACCTCAGACGTGGCCTTGAAGTCGCTGCCCCAGAGGTTCTGGACATGCGCTTCCCTCTGCCCAGGAGCTCCGTGCGCCCTGGAGAGAGGCCTGGGCGGTGGTTGCTTGTTTGCCTCATCGGGCAGCCAGAGGGTTTGAGGTCGAGGACACCCCTGGTCCCGACTCCTGACAGGCGGCAGGTGGGTCCTCAAGGGGAGGGCAGTTGGATTTGGTTCTGAGAACCTGCGGTGGCCGTGGCTGGGGTCCTCGGGTCGGCACGAACCCTGCACGGGCTGTGACGTGTGACCTCTGAGCACGGGAGCAGCAGGCATCCCTCCCAGCTTCCAGTCCGCTGGGCGAGCGGCTCCCAGATAACGCGTTTTCTTCCTGTGCAGAGGTGGGGTGAGGCGGGGCGGGGGCGCCGAGGGCGTCCTCCTGCAGAGCCGGCCCAGGAGCACGGTGGTGGAGTCGGCCCGCCCGGTGCTGAGCAGGGCACGTAGCTGTCGGGAGCATCGCATTATTCAGGAAGGGACGGACCTCTGTGCCTGGCGTGGGTGGAGGAGGGCCCAGCAGGGCCCTTCTTAGCCACCCTTGGTCCCCAGAGGCCAAGACCTGCCTTGGCACCCCGAGGGCCAGGTCCTGAAGGGCTCGGGTGTGCTCACAGCGCAGGTGTGGTCCGAGGCGTGTGATGACGTGCCGCCCGCTCCCCGGGACGGCGCCACCATCCACCCCTTCCCAGCTCTGCCTGGAAGCTCCTCAGGTTCCGTTCGCCGCGGGGGCCTTTGCGGAAAGGCCGGGCCTGGGCTGTGCCGGGGGCGGAGCCTGTGGGCATCGCCGCAGGAGCTTGGAAGGAGCAGCCACTACTAGCTTCCCTCGCTGGCGCCTGGCATCCACCTGGAGCACAGAGCTGCCAGCTTTTTATTCTGTTTTATTATTTGAAATATATTTTTATACGTTTTTTTAGAGAGAGGAGCATCGATGAGAGAGAACATCAGTTGGCCGCCTCATGCACGCCCCCCACTGGGGGTCGATCCCACAGCCTGGGCATGTGCCCCGAGCAGGAGTCCAAGGGGCCTCTCAGGCCACGCAACGGCGCTCCCTCCACTGAGCCACGCGGCCGGGCCACGTTGCTAGCTTTTCAGACCAGTAGACACACGGCTGTGGCGTGACGAGGGCCGTCCGTGTGGGACGCACACCTGACCTGCAGACCTGAGCGTTCGGCGGACGGCCGTGCCCTAGAATCACAGTTGCCTGGGAACAACACCACAGGCGGGACCGCAGCCTCGTCCAGGGCTGTACCGCTTGGTCGGGGCCGAGCCCCCTCCGGAGGCCCGCCCGGGCTCCCTCCTGCTGCGGAACAGGCGGCAGCAGGCTCGTGCGCCCCCCGCGGTGCCCGCTCACACCTGTGTCTCTGCCCTTCCAGGTGTGGCCGATGAGGACGCCTTCCTGGAGGCCTGCAGGCTCCGCGGGCAGCAGGCCCTGCCCGAGCAGCCCGCCAGCACCAGCGCGCGCCCGCCGAGGCCGCCCAAGCCCAGCCCGCCGCCCAGACACGCGTCCCCCCCCTTCGGCGGCGAGGACGAGGACGAGCAGGAGCACGGCCGCCAGCGCCCGGCCAGCGCCTGGGACCCCGCGGCGCTCTCAGCAGGTGTGCAGAGGGAAACCAAGGCCGCGCATGCCCACGGGGCCGCGCCCGTCACACCCCAAGGCCAGCGAGGACAGAGATCACTGCTGTGCTGCTGTGTCCTGACCTGATGGGCGGGGCGGGGCGGGCGGGCTGGCCATGACCAGCCGGGTGGGAGAGGTGCCTCCCACGAGACCCCCCACAATTAAAGCGGGGTACCAGCCTCTCTGACGGTATGGAGTGTGTTGTCTCGGGCACAGGTGCCGGGTGCTGCTTTTTGTTGTCTGAGGATCCTTTTCCGTTGATTCCCAGAGAGAGTGGAAGGGAGGAGGGAGGGAGAGAGACCCAGAGAGAGAGAGACATCGACTGGCCGCTTCCTCAGTGACCCCACGTGGGGCCAGGGATTGAACCTGCTACCCAGGTACCAGCCCTCGACTGGGAACCGAACCCACGACCCTTGGGTCCGAGGGCTGACGCTCTGACCACGGAGCCGGTCCGAGCAGGGCCCACATGCTCCTTGCGACTTGGCGCTGCGGTCTCCTAACTCGGGACCGTGCCCTGGGCCACGCGCCATCCGGGCCAGCGGCCAAGGCTGTACTCCACCCTTCGTGCCGTCATCTGCATTGGTCACACAGACGCAGCGGCCGCCGGCGGGGCCCTCTGTGCGGTGGGGGTGCCAAGCCTGCTGCCCCATGGGCCTGGTGTTGCCCTCGCCCGGCCTCCAGGCGCGTGGTTTGTGACAGGGCCCGAGGTCTCACGCGAGCTCCCAACGGGCATGGCTGTGCTGGGGGGTCATCCTGGGCCCTGTGTCCGGGTGAGGTGAGGCGGACCCCGTGGACTTAGGGCGAAACGGTAGAGTCTCAGAAATAAGTTCACCGTAGAACTTTCTGCCGGAATCAGCCCGTTGAAGTCCCCTCTGGTCCTCTCAGATGAAGCACAGGCTCTGTTAGGACACAGGAAACAGCCGTCCCCCCGAGGGAGTCCCGGGTCTGCGGCCATGGCACAGCCCCACCCGGGACCCACGTGCTCGGCTGCAGACGGGCCGGCGGAGACCGAGCCTGTTCCGTGTCCCTGAGCGAAGAGCAGGGGGAGGCAGTGTGATTCTGGAAGAGTCGCCCGACCAGGACGTGCTGTCTGCTCCCGGCGCCCAGTGCCCTGGGCAGGCTGCTCGAGGGACCTGCCGTCCAGGGCGCGGCCGGGGGCGGCGCTGAGGCCGTTCCCCGAGCAGACGCTTGGACGGTGACTTAAAGGGCTTCATGGTCTGGTTGGAGGGACACCCTGAGCCTCCCAGGCCTGAGGACGTGGCCCGGCCTTCCCGCAGCATCTTGGCTGCGCACAGCGTCCCGCCAGCTGGCCAGGCCTGGAGCTGCCTGAGCCCGAGCGTGGCCCTGCCCCGGACGGAGCCTGTCGAGGGAGCGGCCCGTGCTCGCCCCGGGACCCCAGGAAGGGCAGGAAAAACAGGAAGCAGGTCCCTGCTCACTTCGGTCGGGACCGGGACCGAGTGGGGACAGTGGTTAGGACGCCGGCCGAGGCTGCGTGTTCCCGGGTCCTCGTCCGCGGCCATGGGGTTGGGGGACGCCGGAGCGCCGCTGGGAGCGTTTCTGGTCACCGTTGGAGTCGAGCCATTTTTCTGTTGTTTCCTTTCTTCCAAGCACCTCACAAGAAGACCGCGCAGGCGAAATTGCCCGGGGGTTAAGGATGAGATCCCCCCAAACGCAGGGGGCTGCTCGGAGGGAGACGGGGGGCGGGCAGCGAGGGAAGACGGCGGGAGGAAGAGCCGGGCTCCGCTCTGAGCGGTCGCTGGCAGCGGGTGGGGTGTGAGGCTGGGCCGGCGTCTGTCCTGCCAGCAGGCCGCCCTCCAAGCCACCTCCACCCTGCGTGTCCGCGCGGTCAGGCTCACCTCTGATGCTCCTGCTCCGGCCGGGGGTCTCTCCACTCAGGTGGCCCCGGCGGCCCCGGGGGCCGGGACCGCTCACCTGGTCATCTTCCTGCCACGTTCCGCGTCTCGCGTGACTTTCCTTCAGGAGAAGTGCGTGTGAGGAACAGGGTTACCCGGGAAGTCAGGTGTCTCCGCTCCTGCCCCTGCCAGGCACTGGACACTGCCCCTGGCGCCCAGTCACAGGTGCACGGGCAGCGGGACCGGCCCGGGGAGGGGTTGTTCTCGGCTGGAACTAGGGGACGCGCCCAGATCCTGCCGTCACCGCTGCTGAGCGCATGCGCGGCCGGGGGCTGGGGCTGTGGGGCCGTGTGGGCCCCGGCTCGAGGTTTGGGCCTCTCCGTCCCGCACAGGTGGCAGGTGAAGGGACGTGGGCATCAGTGCTGGCATTCGGTTCCCTAACACCTGTCGCCTTGGTTCTCACCCGTGAAACCCGCTCGCTTTGTTTCCGACGCCACAGGCACGTCTGTGTCCCTGCCGGTCAGAGGACGTGGGGGGAGGGGGCTGGCGCTTGACCTGCAGAGTCACACCTCCCTGCAGGTGACCGTGGGGCTGGAGGTCAGTCCACACGGAAGTTCAGGAATGAAGGATGCTGAGCCTTAAAAACATTTTTTAAAAAAAGGTTTTCTTCATTGATGTCAGAGGGGGGGAGGGAGAGACAGAAACATCGATGAGAGAGAACATCGACTGGCCGCCTCCTGCATGCCCCCCACTGGGGATCACCCCACAACCTGGGCATGTGCCCTGCCCGGGAATCGAACCAGTGACCTCTTGGTGCAGGGTCGACGCTCAGCCATGAGCCACACCGGCCGGGCTTAAAACATGTATTTTAAAGAAAACTTTTTAAAGAGAAAAACGCGAGAGAGCGAGCGGGAGAAACGTCACCCCGTCGCCTCCCACGTGTGCCCCGACTGGGTACCGAACCCGCAGCCCCTCGGGGTGTGGGATGATGTGATCCCCGGGGCCCAGCCAGGACCAGGCTCTCAGTGTGTTTCTGTTTTCACTTGAGACGGCACTTCAGGGTCAGGCCGGCCCTGCCTTCGCTCTGGGGACTGACGTCAGGCGGGTGGACGCTGGGGTGAGGCGGGGAGCTCCCAGGGAGACGCCCCCGCGGGTCTGCGCTGGTGCCGAGGGCCCCCGGCTGCTCTCTGCAGTCTCTGTGCCCCCCTCAGCCTGCTCCCCGGCCTCCGATGGGCTGGGCCACACGCCGGCCGAGGGGCAGAGCGTGTCCCTCACAGGGAGTTCAGGTCAGGACGGCCTACGTATTCTTTCTTTGTTATTATCATTATTTAAAAAAATTTTTTTTGGTATGTGCCCCTAGAGGGAACTGAACCTGGGACTCTGGTCCGCAGGCCGACGCTCCAACCGCTGAGCCAAACTGGCCAGGGCCGTGATTATTATTATTTAAACATCGACCATTTTGAGGAAATAGCACAGTGACTGTTCTACAATGGACCCCGGGTGCCCCTACGCCGTCCCCCGGCCGCCCCGACACGGGGCTCGCCTGCAGGGACAGGGTCTCTGGGGTCCTGCTCCCTGTGCCTCCGCCCTGTGTCTCCGCCGCTCCAGCCTCCGTCACATCCGATGGGACCTGTGCTCCCACAAGCACGTGTCCCTGTTTGGGGCCTTGGAGCAGCTTTGGGGGAAGGGGCGCAGGTCAGGCAGGCGGAGGTGGCCGGGCTCAGGGGGGTTGGTGGGGGCCTGAGCGGCCTCACCCTCGAACCCGAAGCCATCGCATCGGTCACTGCGGAGCCGGTGCTCAGTCAGCTCGCACCCAGACACCAGCTCCTCTCCCTGCGGCCCCTGGGCTTGGGACCTCGGGCAGAAGTGCAGTCGGGCTGGGGCTCGTTGGAACCAGACGGGCCAGACTGCGGCTCTGTCTGCTGCTGCCCCGCTGCCTGGGCTGTGCCGGGGCTCCGTGGTGCCCCAGGTGCAGGGGACGGGCACACCACCCGCCCCGCACCTCTCATCGAATCCTGTGAGGTCGTTTCCTGTGCTCCTAGAACTGGAAATGCCCGTTGAGTGGGCCACCCCCTTTCCCCTGCGTTCATGGGGCGTTGGTGCCCCCAGGAGGCCCCGGGCTCTGGCCTGCCCCTCACAGCCGACCCCGCCTGGTTTCCCGGTTTCTGCACAGAGGAGGGACCTGTGTGCCCGACTGGCCCACCTGCCGTCACCTCCCTGCCCCCTGCTACCTGGAAGGTCATCCCGGGTAGGACACCGCGGTTCCCACGTGACTCTGGTCCTGCTCTTTCCTGGGGGCCTTGTCTGACTGTCACGTCTTCAGCCGCAGCCCCGTCCCCTGGCGTCACCACAGGGCTGGTGCTGGGGGCAGGTCCTCCACCCTCAGCGTCTCGTGCTGTGGCGTCTGCCCCTTTCTCCTCCCACTCAGACTCGAGGGGCCTCCTGAACACGAGGCACAGAGGGCGAGACGTGGGCAGGCGAGACGTGGGCAGGCGAGACGTGGGCAGGCGAGACGTGGCAGGCGAGACGTGGGCAGGCGTGACGTGGGCAGGCGAGACGTGGGCAGGCGAGACGTGGGCAGGTGAGACGTGGGCAGGCGAGACGTGGCAGGCGAGACGTGGGCAGGCGAGTCGGCCTGCACGGTGGTAGTGGGAGGCGGGCCCTCCGAGCCCTTGGGAGCCGGTGTGGCCCGTCCTCTGAGGCGTGAGCGTGGGCGGCAGGGACGAGAGCCGGTCCCCGAGCCTTGCGTCCAGTGCGAGGGGCTCCCCTCGGCCGCTTCCCTGCAGCAGGTGGAGGCGAGCTGGAGCGGATGGTGAGGTCGGCCCGAGGTCACGCTGTGCGCCTCAGTCCTGAGGGGCGGTCAGGTGACCTTCAGGCAGCAGCCTCGGGGCCGCCGTGACCCTGGCCTGGTTCCGTGTCTGGTTCTGGTCCAGTCAGGCCCTTAGACTGAGTTTCTCACCCAAATTCAGCAGCCGCTGGTGTCCCGGCTCGAGCAGCCCTCCCCTGCGGGCCGGACCCGTCTGCCGAGGTGCGTGGGGACCTCCGTCTGTCTGTCCGCGGCCTCCGTCAGGCACCTGCCCGTTAGGTGGGCGGCTGGTCCTTACCGTGGCAGAGTGGACCCTGGTGGAGGCAGCCGGGGGACGGGGCTGTGCCCTCGCCAGGTGGGGCCTGGGCGGGCGCCCGAGGGGCAGGTGACGGCCCTGGTGCCCCGTGAGTCATGTTCTGTGAGCTGCAGGCACGGACCTGAGGGCGTGACGATGCGTGACCGTCTGTGTCGTGGGTTTCGTGGACGTGGGGACAGTGGAGCGTGGTTGGCTCGCGGTGGGGGCAGCTGCCGTGTGGCCCGTGTCTCAGCAGCCGTGTCTCCCTAGGACTCAAAGAAGGCGGCAAGAGGAAGAAGCCAAAGCACAGGGACGAGTCCAAGAAGAAGAAGGCGACCAAGGGCCACCACTAGAGCGCCGGGGCCGCGCCGGGTCGCGGTGGCGTGTGACCGGAGGTAGGGCGTGGCGCCCCGGCCGGAACGCACCTCTCGCGGCACCCTGGACGCCGGCACGGGCGGCGACGGCAGTGGCGTGAGCTTCCCCCGGCATAAGATGGCATTTCCTGCAGAGCAGGTCCGGCTCCCGCTCCTTCTTCGCGGCTTGGCTCTGCCCGCTCGGCACGGCCGGAGCTTTGGGTTGCGGCCCTGAGGCCAGGCCCCCGGGGTCACAGCGGGCACCCTCCTCGCGGCCGCGCGGCGTGGGAATCGGGCAGCCGAGTGCAGGGCCTCCCCGGTGACCGCGCACCTGGCCTCGCACCCGTGGCCTTGGGACCCCCTGAGGCCACCGCTCTTGTTTGTGGTTTGGATCTGACCCTCCCTAGAGCCCTGCTTGCCTCCCGGCCTCTGATTTCTGCTCATGCCCGCTTCCCTCCTGGGCCCCCCGCTCTCCTAGCGCACGGGGCTCCGGGCAACCCTCTGCCCTGAGCTCGGGTGGGACCGGCGGGCGCACACCAGCCGGCGCGGAGCCCGTCCCAGCCGCCTGGGCTCCTTGCCCCGGCCCTGCAGTGGCTGGACCCTCCCCTCCGCTGCCTGGCCTCGCCACCCGCCTCGCCCTCCCTCGAGGGCCCCGGGACGCTCCGGCCCGGCCAGGTGGGGTGTCGGTGGGGTCCCAGGGTGTGATGCTTGTTGTGGGAGCACAGTCGTGACGCCGACCTGAGCACCAGTGTGAATAAAGTGTGAGCGTCACCGTGGCTCTGGTGCCGTCTCCGCCCTCGGCGGTGGTGGGACGTCCGCAGCTCCGGCCTCACAGTCCCGGAGGCCGCCACACGGGCTGCGTTTGGGGGCTGGTGTCGGGCCCGCGTCTTCAGGCCACCACGGGGCAGGTGTCTCAGGACCCGGCAGGGCCAGCTCCTGGGTGAGCGGGAGAGGCCGGGCACGTGCTGGGACCCACCTCCCAGGTGAGCAGGCCGAGCCGCCCAGCAGAGGGCGGACCACACCTGCCCGGCTCAGGTGGGCACCAGGGGCATCTGCTCTGGGGTGGGGCTCGCTGGGCAGCAGGGGGGCTGGCGGGGCATCCCCACTGCTCCCTCTGCCCCAGGAAGCCCCCCGGGGACAGAGCTCGTTACTCCCGTGTCGGGGCTGAAGGGCTGAGACCTCTTCACACGCACGCACTCTGCTGTTGATCCTCACCGGGCGTCCCGTGACTTTCAGAGAGCGGGAGGGAGGGGGGGGGGGAGGGAGGAAAGGGCAGCGATGTTGAGTGACGGCCCCTGAAGGACCCGAGCAGGCCCGGGGCTGGGGCCTGCAGCACAGGTGCGAGCTCCTGACCGGAATCAAACCCGCAGCCCTTCGGTCAGTGGGCCGAGCCTGCCAGGCCAGGCACAGCCCCGGAGGGCTCCCACGTCACAGGGAACTGTCACCAGTCCCGAGACCCCAAGCGCCCTCCCCAGGACCCCCTTGGAACCAGGACACTGACAGGGTCCCCAGGGAACCCCTCGAACACTGCCCACAGCCTTGAGACGGGTCGTCACCTGGGTTCCTTTTTGCCGAAATGAGGTTTCCCTTGGAAAATGGTTTGCACGTGAGGACACCTCCCGGGATTGGATTGGAGCACAAATGATGCCGTCTCCACCCCTGACGGGGCGGGGTCACCCAGGGCCCTGGGGGCGTCCACACGTGTCCCCACACCCAGGCCCCTCACCCTCTCACCACCTGGGTGGGTACACGGTGCCCCGGGGACCGAGCTGTGGGTCACGGCCCACAGGTGACCAGTGGGCTCGGAGCACTGGCCCCCGGCTGATGGTCATCACAGGTCCGGCGAGCCTGAGGGGTGGCCTGGGGACCCAGAATGGACAAGACTGCCTACGGGGGGTCCGCCCCCTCCCTCCACCACCCGTGTGCCCTGGGCTGTCAGGACAGTGACGGTGCGACATCAGCCCAGACTGCGCCCCCACCTGGAAAAGTCCGTCTCTGTGCACAGGGCAGGGCCCCCCGTGTCCTGGGCCCGAGGCGGGGCCCCACAGTTGAGCAGACTCCAGGTCCCTGCCCTTTGGACACTGGCTGGCCTGGAGCCGAGGCCCGGGGCAGGTCAGTCTCCTCTCTGGACGTCCGCTGCCAGCCCCTGCCCGGAGGGCTTGCAAGGGGGCTCTTCCACACCTGCCCCCGTCCATAGGCACCGGGCTCCCTGGGGATGCTTCCCAGAGGAGGACACCCCTGGAAATGCAGGTGACCGGCTCGTGGGGTCACCCACCTGTTTGAGCTGGGAGGGGCCTCCCCCTGCTACCAGGTGGGGGTGACGGTGCCTGTGCCCACCCCCAGTAGGATGGCACCTCGCCATCCTGCTCGGCTCTGAAGACCAACGTGACCAGGACTGAGGGGCGGGCGTGTCGGGGAGGGGTGAGGGCAGGGGTGCCTGGAGGAGGGGCCTCGGGGGACGCTCACCCCCTCGTCCACCCTGTGCGGTCAGTGGTCAGGTGCACTAACCAAGTTCACATGTTCCTGTCATGTACACGCCAAGCGCATGAGCACGGCCCACCATCAGGCAGCCCGTCCGTCAGCACCACGTGTCCCGGATGTTCTCATCGGTGGAGACTGTGTCCCCAAGAAACACTTGTGCCCCCCCCCCCCCCGCCCCGCACTGTGGCCACTGTCCGGCTCTGAACTGCCGGCGGGGCCCTGCCCTCTGGTGCCTGCCTGTTTCCGTGATCTCCCTCCGTGGGGGGTGGGGGGTGGGGGGTGTGTCGTGTCTACTTGTCCCTTCGCCGTCAGCGGACACCTGGCCACCCCCAGACCCACGGCTACCACCCCGAGCAGTCCCGTCCTTGAGGCCCTGCCCCGGGAGCTGGTGCTGTTCCTGCTGCCGAGGTGTCGGGGACGAGAGCAGGAGTGGATGTGGGGGGTCCTCAGACACCAAGCAGGTCGCCCCAGGGTGCCCAGGGTCCCCCTGCCCATTTCGAAGGTGTCGGGGGTGCCAGGCAGGCCGGGAAGGTGCTCCAGCCCCGGCAGGTGGCTGTTGACGGGCGGCCCCAGGTGCCGGGCCCTTCCCCCGCGGCTCAGGTCGGCCCCTGGCTGTCCCTCCACTCTCACCAGGCCCCTGGCTGTCCCTCCACTCTCACCAGGCCCCTGGCTGTCCCTCCACTCTCACCAGGCCCCTGGCACTGCCACCTCGGGGCCCTTTCCTGCCCCTGCTCCGCTGTCCCCAGGCCCCACCAGCGTGTCCCAGCCGACATCGCTGTCCTGGGCAGTGTCTGCAGGACGGCCCCCGGCGCCGTGGTGTTGAGGCATCTGCTGGTGGTCGCCGGCCCGAGCTCACGGTGACCACCGTCACCCAGAGGACGGCCCAGCTCCTTGCTGCTGGACACGGTGGCTGCGCGAGCCAGTGACCAGCGTCCGAGAGAAATGCTAACGTTTAAATCACCGAGCCTTTGTCGGAATCTCCAGCGTCTGCCCGGAGTCAGGAAGCGATGTCCCCGAACGCCCCGCCCCGGGTAGGGGTGTCCCCGGGCACGGGCACCCTGCCTGGAAGCCATGTCCCGTTGTCTGCGTGGGCAGTGGGGACACTGACCAGTCCTGTCTGCCGAGGTCCTGCACCTGCTCTCTTGACATCTGCCGGGAGCTCCGGCCGGGCGGGGACTCTGCCTCTGTCCCCGAGGTGTTAGACGTTTTCACTTGATTGACCTTATTATCCTATAAACAAACAGAATTCATTTTTTTTTAAATCCTCACCTGAGGACATTTTTGCATTTATCTTCAGATAAAGCGGGAGGGAGAGAGGGAGAGAAACATCGACATGAAAGGGACACATCGAGTGGTTGTCACCCTCACGACCAACTGGGGTCGGGGACAAACTGCAACCGAGGTACGTGCCCTTAGCGGGAACCGAACCCGGGACTCTGGTCTGTGGGCCGACACCAACTGCTGAGCCAAACCGGCCAGGGCAGAATTCAGTTTTTATGGCATAAAAAGGATCATTTCTCTGACACTGTGGCGCAGGGTGGCCTCAGGTGCCCCGGGCCATGAACCTGTCCTTCCTGGGACAGTGAACGGGCCGAGGGCGCGGGCCTGGCGTCTGGGTCTGGACCGACGGGGCTGGGCTCTCCGGAGTCCCAGGTCCGGGAGGCCTCCGAGGTGGGCCCCAGACGGGGCGGCAGCGCTGAGCCCCTCGTCCACTGCCTGCTGCTGAGGCCGCTTGTGACCGCTCCCCTCAACCCAGAGACGGGGGGCGGGGTGCAGGCTGTGTGCCCGGGGTGCTGGGGCCTCTGGAGGCCGAGGAGCTGGGGGCAGTGCGACCACCGCTCTCTGTTCCCCGAGCCTGCTGTCCTCCCACCGTCGGGAACGGCCCGGGACCTCCCTGAACCTTGGAGCGAGGAGGGTCTGAGTCCTGGCCCGGCGACGGGAGGTTCTGCCCCACACGCTGGCCCTGCGGTCACTCGGCCACAGCTGGTGCCTACACGACGCTGGTGGGTTCTGCACGAACCCCACGTTTCAGGTGGGCAAGGGGATGGCACTGCCCCCCCCCCCCCATGTCATAGACCGTGGCGCAGCAGGTCCTGGAGCTTGGGCAGCAGGAACCAGGGAGCCCAGCGAGGTGACCGCCCTGCGCTGGCGGAGGAGATGCCACCGTGTCTTTCTATTTAAAAAAATATATTGTTGATTTTTTTTTTAGAGAAAGGAAGGGAGAGAGAGATGGAAGCATCGATGTGAGAGAGACATGGGTTGCCCCCTCCCGCACCGCACCCCGACGGACGCCCGTCCTCGGTGCCCCGGCAGGCCCTGCGGAGGGCCCGGCGCTGAGTGTTCTGCGGGCCGAGTAGCGGCTGCTGGGCACCTGCTCTCTGTGCTCCTGCTCCCACGTCCACGGCGTGTGGCGATTCACGACGGTGCCCCAGACGCCACACTGGATGCCACACCGTCTCGGCCTGCGGAACCTGCTCCCAGAAATCCGCTTTCTGTGCCTTCATCCTTCAGCGCCCCAACTTTTCAAACCCCAA